AGGCAGGAAGTATAGGCGGGACAAGGAGGAGAATAAAGCTGGGAAGTGGAAGGCTGAGTCAGAGAGACACTGCCAGCCGCCATGATGACAAACAGCATGTGAAGATGCGGGTAAGCCACGAGCCATGTGGCAAGGTATAGATTAATGGAAATGGATTAATTTAAGCTGTAAGAACAGTTAGCAAGAAGCCTGCCATGGCCATACAGTTTGTAACCAATATGTCTCTGTGTTTACTTGGTCGGGTCTGAGCAGCTGTGGGACTGGCAGGTGATAGAGATTTGTCCAGACTGTAGGCCAGGCAGGAAAACTCTAGCTACACTGTGAAGCTGTGTTACTGTGCCTGTCTAAAACACCTGTTGGTCTAATAAAGAACTGGCCAATAGCAAGGCAGGAGAAAGGATAGGTGGGGCTGACAGGCAGAGAGAATATATAGAGGGAGAAATCTGGAAAGAGAGATCTAGAAGGAGCCAGAGAAGAGGAGGACATCAGGGGCCAGCCACCCAGCTACACAGCCGGTAAGCCACAGAGTAAGAGTAAGATTTACGGAAGTAAGAGAACAGGAAAAGTCCAGGGACAAAAGGTAGATGGGATAAGTTAAGATAAGGAAAGCTGGCTGGAAACTAAGCCAAGCTAAGGCTGGGCATTCATAAGTGATAATAAGCCTCCATGTGTGAATTTATCTGGGAGCTTGGCGGCAGACCCCCCAAAAAGAGTAAGAAACTAACATCAGTGGGGTAGAGGGGAGCAGCAAGCTTGAGGTGATCACTCTGAAGGTGAGGGAGGCCACAGGCTAAGGGATGCTGGGAGGCACCAGAGCCTGGAAAAGGCAGGAGGTGGATTCTGTCCTCTAGCCCTGATGGCATGCTGGTTCAGTCCAGGGTCACCCATTCTGGCCTTCTGCCTCCCACAGCGTTGTAGAGGTTAGATGAGGACATAGAGCTTAAAGAGTTAGGGTCGTTGAAAGGTCTTAGGTCATTGGACGAATGTCCTAGAACGGGGTGTGGCACACCACACCCCTCCTCTTCCTCTCTTTGTCACTTCCAGCCCCCAAGTCATCAATTCCCCCACTTTACTTCCAGGAGACGGTGTTGTCTCTGCATAAGCCAAAATCAGTGGTGCCAACACACCACAAATGGAAATTTCCAGAACCTTGAGCCCACACAAACCTTTCCTCTTATTAAGCTGGTTATCCAGGGACTTTGGTTATAGTAATGGAAGGCTGGCTAACACGGCCTATAAGGGAAAAAGTTTGTGCTGTGTTTTAAAAAGTGTGTGTGTGTGTGTGTGTGTGTGTGTAAATGCATGCACGCATGCCAGGGAAGGCAGGCCCGGAGGATCAATCTCTAGCTCCAGTTCTTTGTTGTTTCCACTGTGCTTTGTACCCCACTTGCAGGGGTAGGAATTGTAGCATTGTAGGAATGCTGGGATTACAGCTATGTGCCACCTCATCTGGATTATTTACATGGGTTCTGGCTGTTGAATTCAGGTTGTCAGGTTTAAATAGCAAACATTTCTGCCACTGTGTGTGTGTGTATGTGGGGGGAGGGATAAGGTGCATGGGGGCATGCACATGTAGGAAGGATCATGCCTGTGTCACAGCATGTGTGTGAAGGTCAGAAGACATCTTGCAGGAGTCAGTTCTCTCCTCCTGCCATGTGCGTTCCAGGCACACACTCAGGCCCTCAGGCTTGGCAGCAAGCCCCTTCACACACGGCTCCATCTCACAGGCTCATCGTGAGCTCCATCCCCACAGGATGTCAGTGCTGTCAGGATGGTTACTCTCTTCTGGATTTTCACATTCACCCTCTTTACTTCGAGTCTGCCCTGCTGCTACATGGGTGCATTCTCTCCACTCCAGGCTTTCTATCTGGAAGTGTCTTCAGCCTCTGACTTCTCCCCTTACTTCCCACCTGTGCACAAAGCTCCTTCCAGGGGACTCTTTCAGGCAGCATGGAGTTGGGTCATCTTTTTCCAACCCATTTTGGCAATGACCATTGAAGCTGGTGCCTTTGGGCTGCACCTGGTGGCACCATTGCCCCTTGGGAGCTTTCGCTGGCTGATTTAACTTTCCTGTTCTCTCTTCCATTTTGTTTCTGGTTTTACCCTTCCTGCATCTGAGAGACCCTTGGATATTTCTTCTTGGAATCGTTTTTTGATCTGCCTGATGGGGATTTGCATGTACCTTGTTGAGCAGATTTTAAAGCACATACTGTGGGTTTGACAATACACCCTCCAATCTCACTGTCATCCACTCACCATTTAGAGTGAAATAGGGATCTTTCATCCCCCTCTCCATCCCTCCATCCTTCTGTTTTGTATATAGCTGTCCTAAACACACCTATATACATCAAGAGCCACATGGACAGCGGGGGAAAGTTTTGCTTTATTCCTGGGACACAATTTAAGACAGTTGAGGAAAGTCACATTCCCTGCATTTACTCAGAGTCTGTGGCTCCTGGCGGTTCCCCACTGTCCTGCTGATCCACTTTGGGGCCTGTTGGCCATGGTTCTTCCCATCTTCCTTCACTTGGGAATGGCTCCATTGCCCCTCCATTCCAAAGGGGTACTTTTGCTAAGTATAGAATTCCCGACTGTCAATTCTTTAAGGATCTCAGTGCTGGGCCACAAGCTCCCAGGAGGATCTGCTCTCTCCAGGGCTGTCACCCTGGCTGTCATTGTCTTACTGTCAGAGAGCCCTCCCCTGTCTTTAGTTTTTTTAAATGCTTGACTCTGATGTATCTTGGTATGTACTTCTTTGGGTTTATATTTGTTGGGATGGGTTCAACTATTTGTATCTATAGGTGCTAATCTTTCACCAAATTTGGCAAGTTTCTAGATGTATTTCTTCAGTTTTCTAAGGGAGAGGAGATTTATCTTAGTCAGTGTTCTGAGACCAAATCCTGTTTTTTCAAACCCATGTACTTTCTCTTCTCCTAAACCACTAGTGGCAGGAATGCTGGATCTTTTGCCATGCTTCCACGGGCCCTTGAGGTTCCGTGTTTTTTTCTTTTTTTTTAGATAGGCCCCACTGTGTAGCCCTGGCTGGCCCCTACATCACTCTGTAGACCAGGCTGGTCTTGAACTCATATAGAGACCCACCTGCCTCTGCCTCCCAAGGTTAAAGGTGTGTGCCACCATCCTGGCCGAGGGCCAGCTTCTAATATTCCATTTCTCCAAGTACAGACTCGGTCTTTGAATCTCCTGGTTCGAATCTCCTGGTTCTTCCTCAGACCCCTTCATTCTGTTGAGGAGACCAACCAGTAACTTTCGATTCTGATTCTGACTCCAGTTCTACAGTTTCCACCTGACTCTTCATTATGCATCTGTCTGTCTGTCTGTGGGAGTCTTCTGTTTTCTGTCATAATCGCAGCAATGTGTTACCATGGCTACTGTGCAGTCCTTGCCAGATAATTCCAGTATCTGTGTTGACTTGACGTTTGTGCCTATTGATGTTCTTTTTTATTTGAGGTTTTCTTGGTTCTCAGCATGACATATGATGTTCTATTTTTTTTTTAATGATTTCTTTTAAAACCATGTGTAGATAGGGGAGGGAGCGTACATAAGAGTTCAGTGCCTGAAGAGGTTAGAAGAGGGCACCAGATCCCCCTGAGCTGGAGTTAACAGCGGGTTGTGAGCCCCCTGATATGGGTGCTGGGAACTGAACTTAGATCCTCTACAAGAGCAGCAAGTGCTCTTAAATGCTGAGATATCTCTTCAGGCTCCTCACGTGATTTTCAGTAGTATCCTAGAGCCTTCGAGTATATGTTATATGTTAGGAACATAAGTGAAACTATTTTGTGTGACTTGGAATAATGTGATATCTGTAAGATTAGAACTTGCCAACCAGGTAGCTCTGAGAGGTAGGCCTCAGAAGCAAGTCCAGGACTGGCTTTGATATGCTAATTATGTGTTAATGGTATGCTAATGAACCAACTCCAAGGTGGTGTTGATGTGCTAGTGATCCAGCCCCAAGCTGAGAGCCCTGATAGAATAAAACAACTATCAATGAAATGAGAAAAATTGGAACTTTGGGGATGATCTCTAGGATCACACTGCCATGCTCCTGAGACATGGCTGCTCTAGCCTCTGTGTTGATACCCATCATTGAGGGGACTTGAGACTCAGTGTGTGGTCTTGGCTTTAGTGACTGTTGAACTTCCAACCCTGGCGCTGGGCTCACACATGACCGCTGGTTAGTGCTGGCCAGTGCTCTCAAGGATCTCCATCAGTACCATCCTTCCAGTCTGCCAGAATTGAAGGACTCTGTGGTGGATTTTGGTCAAGCCTGTAAGCTTCCAAAGTGTCCCCAATAGAACCCTGTAGCAGCATTTTCTGCCCAACCAACCATCCCCGCTTAGTAAGATGTCTGTTCAGCTTTTGTAATGGAATGGTATTATAAGAAATGTTTGTGTGAATAAACCAAACCTATTCAAAAGACAAATCTTGTGTGAACATCCTAATTGCCAAGCTCCTCACAGTCCATGGGCCTTGCTCCCCACATTAAGAGACTCTGGAAGATGTCAAGACACCATAGGAAAATAGCCCACAGAATCAACTAAGCAGGGCTTATAGGAGCTCACAGAGACTGAACCTACTACACCCAGGGAGCCTGTATGAGTCTGACCGACATCCTCTGTACATATGCTATGGTTATGTAGCTTGGAGTTCTTGAGATACTATTATCAGTGAGAGCGGGGGCTGTCTCTAACGCTTTTGGGACCCTTTTCCTCCTACTGGATTGCCTCATCCAGCCTTAATATGAGGGGATGTGCCTAGTTTTATTATAACTTGATACGCCATGTTTGGTTGATATCCCTGAGAGGCCTGCCCTTTTCTCAAGAAAAAAGGGGCACTGGAAAAGAGGAAGGAGGGGGAACTGACTGGAATGTAATATATGAGAGAGAAAAAAATTAAATGACAGAATGCATGTTTTAAAAGGATACACAACAAATTTCACCCCAGTAAACCACTTGCTGAATTAGACAGACAGACAGACTGACTCTGGATCTTATAATCTAATATGTAGGAACACCTAAGACATTGGGCTAGAGGGGAAGCCTCTACACGCTGGCCATCTCTGCTCGCCAGCAGGGAGGAGGGGGTTGCTCTACTGGGTACAGAGTTTCACCTTCATTATTCTTCAGTTCTGTAACTTTAGATCCGTGGTTACAGTTCTTGGCTGTGCTTGGCTTTCAATCCTTCTGTTTCGTCTCTGTTGTTGTTTGGAAAGACAGCTGTCAGTGGCTCCTCACCCGCTCCGTGCTCCCTCCCGTCTGCGCCTGTGTACAAGGGAGATTTCTCACCGCTGTGGTCAATGCATCTGCTTCTCGGTGAGAACCTCTGCGGAGTGTGTTTGGACTTATTAATGCTGTGGAGTTTCTTCTTCTTAATTGAAGTTGTTAGGTTTAGAGCGAGGCTCGGTTCTAGGAAGCCACAGTGCAGGATCTGCCTCCAGGCAAAACACTTATTAATGTTGTCGGCAACCCTGCAGAGGGAAGCAAAACCCCAGCCTGCCCAGGAAAGGCAGAAAGGCATTTCGCTTTTTTCTTTTTTCTTTTTTTTTTTTTTATTTGTGCGGATGTTTTGTAGGCATGTATGTATGTGCACCACAGGCATGCCCACTGCCCCTGGAGGCCAGAAGAGGGCATCGAACCCCTGGGAACTGGACTTACAAAGGTTGTGAACCACAATACAGGTGCTGAGAACTGAACCTGGGTCTTCTGAAAGAGCAGACAGTGCTCTTAACCACTGAACCAACTCTCCAGCCCCCCAAAGGGCATTTCTTTCAAGATCCCTTGGGAAGGAGGTAGTAACATGGGAAAGTAGGTCCAAGGTCACATGACATCATCAGATTAAGCTGAGAGGCAGTATTTCTTTGTTCAGGTTAGACAGGTGTTTGGAAAACCTAAGGATGTTTCTGGTTAAGGCCATGTGGAAAATTCCACAAAGCAATGGGTTTTCTTCAGTGCATAGCTCAGTGAGCACTCAGCCTCTGGGCCTGAGAATAGAGACCCCGGGTGTATTCATACATTGCCTGCAGCTTTCTCCCCTAGGGCTTTGTTAGCCAGAAGCCCTGTCTCCAAGATGGAAGACTCCCTGCCTATGTGATGAGACAGAATGTCCCTCCTGGAAGATGGAGGGAGACTTGGAAAACTCAAGAAGCTTCCCAAATCCACAAGGCTCAGGCTCAGCTCAGCAGCTTACAGGGTTCACACAGCTCCTCCCTGAGGTTTTAAAAATAGTGAACACTTTCTGGAGAGAGAAGACCAGAAAGGTGGACTTTCTGGTGATGGAGCCACCTCTGAGTCACCAGTGTCCCTTAAGTAACCCCCAAACACACACTGGCTCACCATCCTGGACTGCAGTGGGATGGTTTCCTTGATCCACACCCATTGGAAGAATAGCTGTTTATTCTCATCTCTCCAGAAAATGTCCCCCAACAGTTGAGCTACGTGAATCCAATGGTGTACTCCTGTCTCCATCAGCAGAAAATCCCCCAAAGGTGATCTCTTCGGGTCTTAACTGTACTTGGACCGCTTTCTTTCCCTCCGACATTCTGTTACCCTCTTCCAGAGTCCTCTCCTTTCCTGTCCTCCCATTCAAGATTTCACTCTGCATATGAATTTCCAGCTCCCCCTTCTGCTGTTTGAATGAAAAAAAAAAATGAGGACATGGCCGTTCCTCTGTGTGGTTGAGGAGAAGGTTAATTGTGGATAGGAGGGAGAGACCAGCCAGAGGCGTCTGGGAGAGTCGAGACCGGACATGAACCGGGCCATGAGAGACGAGGTGGGGGAAAGGGATGGGAAAGAGAAGAACCAGGAACCAAGAGAGGAAGTGACCAAAATGGCAGGGTGATACAGGAATCCAAGGGAAGGGAAACGCAGCTCCCGGGTTGGAGAGGTTGAGGGTAGGGGGCGGGGTCAGCAGTGCTGGGAGGAGCCACAGGTACTGAGTGAGACGTCTCCTGGGTTCCTCTGAGACCTGACACTGTTAAATCGGTCTCTCTGTTGGCCCCTTATTGTTGGTTGTTGGTGTCACAGTCAAATTTAATTAGCGTCTTCCAATGTGCCTGTTACCGTGTCTACTCCATTTCTCTACATACGTATGCGCACAATTATATACATACTAATGTGTACGTGTGCGAGTGTGTGCAGGCATGTGCGTGCCACGGTGCACGTGTGGGGGCCAGAGGATAATTTTCAGGACTCTGTTCTCCACTTCCACTGTGGGTGCTGGTGATCAAACGGAGGCCACCAAGTTTGCCACAGCAAGCGCTTCGCCCTCCGAGTCACATCACCAGCTTTTCATGTTCTTCTTCCTCTCTTTTTCTTAAGAATTTTTGTGCGTGTGTGTGTGTGTGTGTGCCTGTGTAAGTTCATGTACACCACATGTGTGCGTGCCCACCGAGGCCAGGAGAGGAACTGGATTCACAGGTGGTTGCGAGCTCCCCCACTCATGTGGGTGCTGGGACTCAGAGCCCACGACCGCTGCAAGAGCAGCAGGTGCTCTTCACCACGGACGGGGCCATCTCCCCAGCCTTTCCCCAACACTGATATTTTTAAGTTCTACTTTTAGCCCCGAAACCAGCTTGAAGACTGTGTCGTGTCCTGCTCCGCTGTCCGGACATCTGAGGGGTGTCCGGTGCTGCCTCTGGTCTCCTTCCTGTGTTCTTATTTTCTTCTCTGTTAATCATCTGTGGTGATGGATCGGATGTTATATTTGAGAAAGTCTCCATGGAAATACTTTAGATGGCTTTACCCCCCTCTAAGGAGAACTTTTCTATTTCTCTGGTTGGTTGGGGACGCCAGCATTCAAGGCTGGTTTGATCTGAACCGGGGGATGGGAGCACCACCTTGATCACTCAAGACAGCCACTTTAGCACCCACGAACTACTTAGCTTCTGGAGTCCACCCCTAAATGCTGAGTGGAGAAGCTTGTCATCACCCTGTTCCCACCCCTCACCCTCAGTCTGTCACCTTCTCCTTCCAGAACAGTTGCTCTCTGGGGAAAATGAGTCCAGGCTGCAGACTCCACCTCTCCAGGCTCCTCACCTCTTGACTCAGATTTTATTCACTGCTTTCTTTTTCTCTTTGATGTTTCTAGGACAGATTTCCAAGTCTCTCCAGCCATGTCCTCACCTTCACTGGGATGATGGCACTACCGTGTTACTCAGAGGACGCGGAGCCCGGGTCTGAGATCCACATTCCTGGAGCTCTGCTGGGTGATGGCCAGGGGCTGCTGCTCTCATGCTCTCCCCAGCAACTTCCCAGGAGCCTCTTCTGAGCATGTCACCCATTTCCTCCTCCCGTGTCTTTCTGAGTCACACAGTTCTGGTCAAGAGGGTCCTCTCCTCTAGCTGGACTCAGACGTTGGAACAGAAGCTTGAAAGACATGCTGGAAAAATTCTACTACTTGTCTGGAACATTCGGTGGCCCAGGCCCACAGAAGAAGGTGCCTGCCTGAACAAAAGAAAAAAAAAAAAAGAAGAGTAAGTGTGATTGTGCTGTGTGTATGTGAGACATCATTTAAGAAAAGTTAAAGAGTGAACTATCATTTTTAATTGTTTTACATTAATTAATTTAGTGTGCATAAACGCCTTGCATGTGCATACACCATGGCATACATGTAGAGGTCAGAGGCCAACTTTCAGGAGTTCTCTCCCTACCATGCGGGCTCCAAGGATGGAACCCAGATCCTTAGCCTTGTTGTCAGGTGTCTCTACCCACTGAGCCATCTGGCTTGCCCTCTAGTAATCTTTTTAAGCAATGATAAATCCAAGATTCTGGGAGTGGCCTGCCCAACTGGACCAGGCTCCACCACTTCCCTTCTTCACTTCTCCAGTGACCTCCCAGGTCCCTTGCTCAGTGTTCCCAGTGAGCTCTGACGCAGGTGCTGTTGCGGGTCTCTTGTTTTACCTGTGTAAGGGAAATTAACCCAAGGGAGAAGACTGAGCTTCATGGTGCACAAATCCTAAATGGTCTTTTAATAAAAAACCGGAGTCAGATATTGAGGTAAATGCTGAGAGATCAGAGAGACAAAGGAACAGGCCACTAGAGAAACTTCTCACCACCATTGAATCCTCAGGCAAAATGGAAGGTGGGATCCTATGTTCACAAATCCTCTGACTGAATTCCTCTGAGTCCTCAGCCAAAAAGGCTCTGTCTAGTTCCTGTCTCCTTATATGTCTTTTCTCTGCCCAGCCATTTCACTTCCTTCCTAGAGCTGGGATTAATGGCCTGTGTGCTCCCCAAATACTGGTAGCAAAGGCATGAGATCTCAAGTGCTGGGATTAAAGGCGTGTGACTCCCAAGTACTGGGGTTAAAGGTGTGTGCCACCACTGCCTGGCTCTGTTTCTCTCCTAGACTGACTCAATCTCATATAGTCCAGGGAGGCTTTGAACTCACAGAGATCCAGATGAATCTCTGCCTCCAGATTGCTAGGATTAAAAGTGTGCACCACACTGCATGACCTCTATGTTCAATCTAGTGACTGGCTCTGTCCTCTGATCCTCAGGCAAGCTTTATTTGATACACAACATATCACCACAGCTTCATGCAGTCCTGTCCTCTGGATGCAGTTGCCCTGGAGCACTATTGCCTCCCCACATCTAGTAACAGCTCAGGCACACTTGGGGGAGCAGCAAGGTTGGCCCTCAGCTCCCCACTCCCACCCTCCCACCCCACTGCTGAGCTGTGCTTCTGGGGTGAAGATTTCACAAAAAGTTAATGAATAAGAAAGAAAAATGACAGGATGTTGGTTTAAACTAGTGGCTTATCCTTTAAAATAAATAAGCACAGTGGTCACACTCTAATAAGTCACGTCCACAAAGACAGAAAACAGACTAAACCAGGACTGAGGACAGAACAGATGTGGCGGCTCCACAGCCTGAGAGAACACGCACACAGAGTTTAATGCTGACAAATCTTAAAATCTCCGAGAAATGGATAATTTCATTGAAGTCCCCCAGATGTCGGAAGTAGAGCAAGGCGATGTAGGACAGAAATGCCATCTGTCATCATCTCGGTTACCTGGGTCAGAAGTTGCAGTCAATCGGGAGGGGTGGGAGTGAGCATCATGGGAGGTGAGTCCCCAAGGTGAGGCAGGAATGTGCTTAGCTGATGGGGTGCCCTGGAGCCACCACAGAAAGGCCCTGGAATCATGAGATTGAGAACTGGAGTCACGGCACATGGGAAGGAAGGAACCCAGCCATCCCTGGGCAGAGAACACAGAGGCAGATGGGTGGCCATTAAGCAGGGTGAACATAAGTGGAAACAGGGCAGATTTGTCTTATGGAAAACACACAAGCCTCAGCGTTGAGAATGAGATGAAACCAGTTTAAGAATGCTGTCCCTTCAGAAAAGAGAGAGCATGGGCCCAGCCATTTAAGTGTGTGTCGCTGTAAGAAGGCATGCGCAGTATATGTGTCCATGCTGGACAAGGGCCGAGAGATGCCAACAGGGCTCACATCCCAGGGATGGAATTACAGAGCGTTTGAGTCTGTCTTCTGTTACTGTAACAAAGTACTTGAGACTGGATCATCTAAAAGGAAAGAGTTATTGGGGCTCATGATTCCAGACACTGTAGAGTACTAGCAGTGGCTTTGTGCTGTGTCAACTCGTGAAGAAAGGTAGAAGACAGGTGTTGGGGGGGAACCAAACAGAACTGCTCTGCAGCAATCTTCTCTGATGGTCACTAATCCAGTCCTGAAAGAACAGCATTAACTCCCCCTCCCTCCCCGATCTCCAAAGAATCCCATCATCTTGCAGCATATGACACCAGCAGCCAAAGTTCAACAGGAGCTCTGGGGGGGAATAAATCACATTCAAACCAGCACGAAGCCCAAGGGATCAGCAGCTACTTACACATTTTACCCTGGATTTTCCTGCATTTGGATGCTTAATACGTACGGATTATTTTGTACGTAAGTAGTTTTATTTAAAACTAAGAAGAGAAACGCATATATTAAAACCAGCATATTTTCAGTGGAAGAACCTGCAATAATTCTACAGGTTGTTTTTTTTTTTTTTTTCTTTTACCAGTGAACATGGGCCACACTTCTAAATAGAACAAATCAATAAACGTCATTAAAAGTTAAGCTCACAAAAAAATAAGTGGGTATAAATAGCAAGGACATATTTGAAAAGCCACAGCGATGAGGGACAACTTGCAAATATTTAAAAGTGACAGCAGTATGAATCAAGAATAGAAAGTTATTTTCCCTTTTCTTGTTTTTAAAATGCCAGAGGAGGCTTGGGGTGTAGAAAGTCACTCAAGACTGCCACTTCTAACCTAGCAACGAGGCCACACGGCATCAGCCACTCATCCTTTTCTTGAGCCACAGAGACCCCCACAAGCAACAAAAAGAAGTGAGTACCAAGCAATGAAGCCACCTCTCCCAAAAGAGGGGCAAGTGGCTCACTGGGACTGCACCACCTTTAGTTTGCAGGGGTAGGGGGCCTGTCATAAAGACAGGGCTGGCATGGCAGTCATTCTCAAAGTCTAGGTGTATTGCCCAAGGACAAGCACCCTCACTCATTTCATGGGTTCACTTGCTGCCCACCAGAAATAAGGAATAAGCGGGCATTGTATTGCCATTTTCTCTGAATTGCTGTATTCCATCCTGGAGGAAAGCTCCTTAAGACCCAGGAAATCAACAATTCACAAGTCTCAGGAAGTCCCTGCAGCTGACCAGATGACACTAGGCCCCTCCCTCCCGAAGGTCATATAAGCAGTAAGGGCTGCCAAGAAGAGGAGAGTCTCTGACCTGTTGAGCTGCCTGAGAGTTGTGCAGAGAACTCCAGGGTTCCAGCTTTCGTGATCTGTCAGCTGTGCTGTGCTGGGATTTGATGATGCTTCTGCCTTTAGGTGGTTCCTGCTCCTGCAAGTGACCCCTCACCCACCATCCCATAAGTCACACCACTAACTCAGCATTTCGCCAAGTTAGACTTTGGTAGCACCCTTGCCTTAGCCTGACATAGGTTCACTCTCTGAGGAGTGTAAACATTTTCCCCCAGAACAGTTTCACACAACATGGGGAAGGAAGAAACCACTTAACCTTGCCCAGGCTGTCTCAGAAAACAGACCAGATACCTGCCCTGGCTGCCTTTGGAGACCGGCAAAGCCCTATCCTAGAGACAGGAAAGATGGTATAACAACATTCCCGTGGACAGCAACCACAAACACCTGTGAACCAATCGCATCAACCCATTGTAGAGGTCTGCAGCAAAGGGGGTGCTCTGTCACCCAGTCAGACTCACTCCAGCTGTTCAGACTCACTCCCCTGTCACTCAAAACCCAGTTCAACTCACTGTGTTAACAGAATGAAAGAGAAAAATAGAACCATTCAGACAGACTCGGAAAAACACAACTAAAAATAATGTTTAAAGACCTTCAGCAAGGAAGGAAGTCGAACCAATGGGGAACCCCTGAATCTGATTCAGGACAGCTATCATTGACACCATCCCTATGGTAAGATATGGACCAGGTGCCCTGCCAGGTGAGTAGCCAGAAAGGGGCACACATGTGATGATGCCACAGTCATCTGGAAGCCCGGACAGGAGAGGAAAGACACAAGACAAAACTAGAAATCTCTTTCCTCTTCTCCCTCCTCCTCTCCCTTTCCCCCCTCCTCTTCCCTCTTCCCCTTCTCTCCTTCTCCTTCCTTCCTTCCTTCCCCACTTTCTCTCAAAACAGGTTTTTCTCTTCAGACTAAGTCACCTTGAACTCAAGCTCCTCCTGCCTCGGCCTCCTGGATGACGAGGTTACGGGTGTGCCACTACGCCTGGCTATAAAGCTCTCGAACTCCCTTTACTCAGACCATATGGCTTTGTGTATAGGAAATCGGAAGGACCCCAGAATTGTCTGAGAACTAGTAAGTAACCTGGGACTGGTCACAGAATAAAAATGAGTACAGACAGCTCAGGTGGGCGGGCGGGCAAGATGGCCCAGTGGGAAAAGGTGCTTGCCTCTAAGCCTGGCAACCTGAGTTCGATCCCTGAGACCCATGTGGTAGAAGGAGAGAGCCTGGGGTATCCTTGGACACTAAATAAATACATTTTTTAAATTAGCTTTCATTTTCTACAAGAGCAACAAATAATTGCAGAAGAAACTTCTAAAAAAAAAATTCATCTACCATAAACAACAAGAAACAAAATCCTCGGGAAGCCATTTACAGACGGGTTTAAGGGATTATTAACTAAAAACCAGGAAATGTCGCTGGCAGAAATTAAGTAAAAATGAAAGAAGCCGCATTCATTTAGCCAAGGACTGGGTCTCACTTAAACATCAGTTCTAAATGACTGCTCTGTTCAATGTCTTCCCTGCCATGGTCCCAGCAGACTCTTTTGTGGAAATTGATGGAACCGGGCTAAAACTTAACTGGAGCTGCAAAGGACCTAAAAATAGCCATGCTGTGAGATACTCTCTGAGAATAGAAATGTTCTGGTGAGCATTTTAAGTGGGCCCTCGTACCTGGGGAGCTAAATCTTTAGCTTTACTTAATTTTAATAAATTAAATTTCAATCTTCACATACCTCTAGTGACTGGCTATATTGGAAAACACAGACCCGGGATCTCAACAGAACTTGAGCCTGCAGCTCAGAATGCAAAGCTTGAGGGCAGCCGAGATGACCCAGTGCACACCGTGCAGGTATGAAGAGGGACAAGCACAGACTCCACGTGGAGACCTCTGTATGCGGTCATCCGAGTTGGATGATGTCGCCCAATCAATGGAAGACACAGGAAGTCCCTCAATGAGGAGACTGACACATCCATCTGTACAGGAACTAATCCAAGTTAACCAGCCTCACATCTCCACATATGAAAAGCTCAACTGAGATGGGTCATGAACCTACAAGTGAATATTAAAACTTTACTGTATGGGGGCCGGAGAGATAGCTCAGAGGTTGGGACTGTTTCCTGCTCTTCCAGAGGACCCAAGTTCAAGTCCCAGGACCCAAGTCAGGCAGTTCACAACTGCCTGTAACTCCAGCTCGGGGGACCAGATGCCCTCTTCTGACCACCTTCCACACACGTGCACATATATACACAGAAAAACATAAATAAATATTTTTAAAAAATAACAAAACTGTAGTCTAGAAGATATCAGAGTATTGCTATGTCCTGGATGTTGGCAAAACTTTTGGGTACAGTAGAGGCCCTGGAGAAATTTCTGAATGCTGGTGTTCTTCATGTTGACAGGGGTTAGGGTTACCAATATATATCAGAGTGAAAAATTTCACCATGTATGAATTAGTAATCCAAGAATTATAAAGAATTACTAACAGGCTCTAGTCAACAAGATGCCTGTTGCCATGCCCTGGTTCTCAACCCTCCTAATGCTGTGACCTTTTAATACAGTTCCTCATGTTGTGATGACCCCCCACCAACCATAAAATTATTTTGTTGCTACTTCATAACTGTAATTTTGCTACTGTTACGAATTGTTATGTAAATATCTGATATGCAGGGTATCCGATTGTGGGTTGTAACCCACAGGTTGAGAACCACTGGTGCAGGGTCTTGGAGTCATAGGGGCTGATGTCTTCCTCTAGCACAAATGAAGTCATGAGGCAGCAAAGGTGGGTGGAGAGCGGGGGTGCATGAACCAACCAAAGCGCACACAGAACAGTGCAGCCACAGCCATTCATAACCAGTCACTGCATGGAGAAATGACGTTTGAATGCTCAACCCTAAATCCAATGTCTCTATCATCCTATCTGAGGTTTGGGGAACATTCCAGAAGAGGTAGTGGGAGGAATAGGAAAGTCAGAGGAAGGGGCGGACTGTTCTGAAGCACGATCTTCCGGGCATGAAGCAGCCATTGCACTCTGGAACTCACAGGAGCTGTGATGACCCTCAGGAGATCCATGTCTCAAGCCACCGACATCCTGTCACATTGAGGAAGGGGCTCATAGGTGTCCCCAACAGCTAATGGAAGTTAATGGTTGACTGGGGGGGTGGGGTGTTTTCTTCAGTTATGTAGCCACTGGCAAGATGCTCTTGCACCGTAATAACCCCTCACCCACATTCCTGTAAGTGACCCTAATGAAACTCATTGGATGACAGAAAGGAAGGAATGGAGAAAAAAGTAGAAAGGGGTCCAGTTGGGAAGAGAAGGGGTCAGCAGGTGGGAGGGAATGAGAATATAATGAAAACCCTTTATACACATGTAGGAAATGTAATGAAACCCATTGCTATGTATAACTGATACTTGCGAACATGAAGGGCAGTGAAGCTGAGCATCCATGCTGACCATGTGGTGGTATTGTGTTCCCCAAAATATTGTGTACCCTAATAAACTTATCTGGGATCAGAGAACAGAACAGCCACTAGATATAAAGGCCAGAAAATGGTGGCACACACGCCTTTAATCCTAGCATTCCAGAGGCACGGATCTCTGTGAGTTCAAAGCCACACTGGAAACAGCCAGGCGTGGTATCATGAGCCTTTAATCCCAGGAAGTGATGGCAGGAAGCATAAAGGTATTTAAGGCGTGAGGACGAGGAACGAGGCCTGGTTAAGCTTTTAGGCTTTTGAGTAGCAGTTCAACTGAGACCCATTTTGGATGAAGACACAGAAGCTTCCAGTCTGAAGAAACAGGATCAGTGGAGGAATTGGCGAGGTGAGGAAGCTGTGGCTTGTTCTGCTTCTCTGATCTTCCAGCCTTGACCCCAGTACCTGGCTCCAGGTTTGTTTTATTAATAAGACTGTATAGCAATTCACATTACACCTCAGCTGTAAGTCAGTGATGCCAGCCCCAGGAGTTCATCTGAGAGATGCAGTCAGAGCAGCTTCATTCCCTGTTGCTCAAAGGGCACTGTCCATCTAAAAAAAATATATGAAGTGGGAGAGGAATGCTTTGGGAGATCTGGGGAGAGCTGGAAGGGAGGAAGTGGGGAAGGACACAATCTTATTATATTGTATGTGTGCAAGAAAATCTCATGAACAAATACAAAGTTATTTTAAAAGAGATTATAATCTGTAATATAGTATTTTAAAAAGATGATTGTCAAATTAAAAAAAATTAAGATGGCTAAATGGATCACCAACATAGCATGTCTGTGGGATGGAGCCTTCAGAGCAGTGACCTGAGCATGCCCGGACACCACCATCCATGCTCTTAGGTCCCGAGCATAGGAAACAGGAGAGGGGTCAAGGCTGACCCCGGGCCAACCTCCAATGCAACAATCAGGGTGCCGATTACCAAGCAGGGTGGGGAGAGGTTGGCTGGAGGTACTCAGAGCTTTCTGAGTGATGTAAAGGCTCTATATTGAGGTTGTGGTCACACTGTGCAGGACCACATGTCTGTCATAACCCTCACACTGTGTCAATTCTGAGAACTTCACAGTGGGCAAATTCCAATTTAATTTTTTTTAAGGATTTAAAAAAAAAAACCCAGCTCACCAACCAGGGAGAAATAGCTACAGAAGCCATATACCTCCATGTAACAACATGTTGTGGATTCACTAAATATATTTTTAAAGTAACATTTTTAAACAACAGTAAAATGTGTATTCTACAAAATTCATTTTATGAGTATAAAAATGGTACATTTGCTGACTGGAGAGATGGCTCAGTGGTTAAAAGCACTGGTTGTTCTGCCAGTGAACCTAGATAGATTCCCAGCACCTACGTGGTGGCTCACAACCATCTGGAACTCCAGTTGAGGGGTTCCAACACCTGTAAGTCCAGTTCCAAAGCCCTCTCCTGGCCGCTGAGGGCACAGCACACATGTGCTACACATACATACACGGGTACACACTCAACATACATAAAATAAAAACTAAATCTTCAAAATATTTTTTAAATGGTATACTTAGTACATCCCTGAGTTGGGGAAAAAACGATTTACTTGTTCCTAAGTCACAACTGACTTTAAGGCTAGACTATTTTGATAGCTTTTCCTACCTGGGCTACATCCCAAGTTCAAGGCCACAGCCCCAGCAGCTGCCCAGGCTTCTGGGCTGGTGCCAGCCCTCCAGGCCAGGTCTGAAACCTGCTGCTTCCATTCTGCAATCTCTTCCCTCACACACCGGTGACCAGACCTGTTCCAGAAAGAGTTATGTGAGATCAAAGCCTGGTTGGGCAACGCTCGCCTTCAGCTTTCGAAACGGTGCCAGGTTCAGCAGGAGTTTGGCACACGAGGGTCGCTGGAGCCATTTCTCTCACTGAGACCCTGCAGTTCCTTCCCAACACTCTGGGCAGCTGGCATGGCAAACACGGCACCACCATGCCATGCTGCTTTCCTGCCCCAAACCCCTTCCTACCTGAGAACTCCATCTCCACGAACCGTTCCTCTGCCTCTCCCAGTCAGGAACCCACAGCTCCTTGAGTTACCAAGTGAATTATTCAGGACTGGTTTATTGAGGAAGCTCAATTCGATGAGAGCAGTGCCCTCAGCTCGATAAGAAGAGAACTTAATCCAAATGGAGTCCGTGGCTTCTGTCCCCTCCCAACTCGAAGGTTCTTCTATTACTTTTGTCTTTAGAGTGATCTCTTAGCATTTAATGCCTGTTTATGATCAACTTAAATGCAACCCAGAATGGGGCTGGGTCTCTGTGGCCCTGAGGCCTGGTAGGGCTAGGGTGTCCATCTATTGATGCTAGCCTGTGCTTTGCCATCATCCAAGGCCACATTCACCATAAAGTGGGGATCCACTCAGAGGAAGGGGGCCAGCAGCAAGGATTCCTGTCGGGGACAGAGTGTGGCTTCCCCTGCTGTTTCTATAGCTCAGGACACCCAACTGTCCTCTGACAATGTCCCACCCCAGTGCTCAGCCACCTGCTTCCCCATGTGCCCTGCTTTGGAATTTCCTGCGGTATGGTGGTCCCTAGATTCAAGTACCTTCTTCGGGGAAGCAGACATTCGGAAAGATGGAAAGTAGAGGGTCAACAAGAAACCAGGAGGTGGCCAAAGACACGCTGTTCCCTTCTTAGGGGCACTTTGGACCCACGCACTGTGCACTAGCAGGGACGGGTGGCCTGGAGAGTCATCTGTATCCACGGGAGAATGGTAAGCACATAGGGACATCCCAGGCTGCCGCCAGTGCAGTAAGAGAAGACAAGCCCACTACAAAATGCTGCCATGGTCTTAATTAGGGTCATTACTGCTGTGATGAGACAACAGAACCAAAAATCAAGTTGGGAAGGAAAGGGTTTATTTGGCTTACGCTTCCACATCGCTGTTCATCATCATTGGAAGTCAGGACAGAAACTCAAACAGGGCAGGAACCTGGAGGCAGGAGCTGATGCAGAGCCCATGGAGGGGTGCTGCTTACTAGCTTGCTCCTCACAGCTTGCTCAACCTGCTTTCTTATAGAACCCAGGGCCACCAGCCCAGGGATGGCACCACACATAGATCTGGGCTCTCCCCCACCAATTACTAATTAAGAAAATGCCCTACAGGCTTGCCTACAACCTGATCTCTTAAAGGCATTTTCTTAATTGACATTCTCTCCTCTCAGATGACTTTAGCTTGTGTCAAGTTGACATAAAACCATCCAGCTCGGCCATCATAGAAAACATCACTACGAAAAAAAACCCAAAGAGTCAGGTTTAGAAATTGCCTGCAGGTTGGAGATTTCAGTGTGGTGGACTCTAGCTCAGGGGTGGTTGCTGAGGTGGCTGTATTAGTCACTTTTCTGTTGCTGTGATTAAACACCATGACCAAAAGCAACTTATGAAGAGTTTGCTTTGGCTTAGAGTTCTAGAGGGAGAGGCCATCATGACAGGGAGACAGCAGGAAGCTGAGAGATCACATCTCCATCCACAAGTGGGAAGCAGAGAGAGCAATTGGCAGTGGGAGAGGCTATGAGCCCTCAAAGCCCACCCCGCACTGACGTATTTCCTCCAGCAAGGCTGCATAACCTCCTGCACAGCTCAATCCCCTGGAGTCCATGTGTTCACACACGTGAACCTCGGTGACTGTCCTCTCTCAAGCCACCACAGTGTCACAGACTGTGGCCTGAACAACAAACATTTGTTTCTCAACAGTATGACATTAGGGTGCAGATTTCAAGATTTGAATTTGGGGACACGCTTTCATTCTACTGCAGATGGTAGTATTTAAAAAATAACACACTGGTCAAGACCAAGATGGCCAGGAGACTCTCCACCTTCCTCAAGAATACCTGGGCAAAGGAGCCAGTACTGGTGGTACCCTCCGTCTGGGGTCTTGGTATAATTATGCCCATAGTCAGCCCCTACACCAAGTATGCGGGCATGATCACCCAGGCCACACCCTACAACTACCCAGTGCCTGTGTGAGATAATGGGCATAGGCCCGTTTGCCCAGCCACCCCCAGTACCCTCAGGGCCCAAGCCTGGAATGGCTGAATAACCTGTGAATGTTCCTGCTGATGGAAGAGGCCCCCTTCCCAGTTGCTCCCCAATAAAAATGTGAAAACCAACCCCACAAAAATGAAATAAAAACTAAATAAAAAATAACACATTTATCTCTACTATTTGGAAAAAGAGCCTCCAGCTGTCCAGGGAATTCTGGTCACCACAAACTGCTACATTCTGAGGAGGGACTGAGAAACTGTGTTCCCCACGTGTTCAGAGGGACCGCAATGCGTTCCCTTTTTCCTATGTACTAGCAATGGCCCTTATTAAGCAGATAGGGAGCTGTTGAGCCTGAGAACAAGGTCCTGTTGACAAGAGAGGAAGTGTTCCCAGGAAAATTGGCTACTGGGGCTGTTGTTACAGCATGGCTTGTGATGAAAGAAATTGCCAAAAAGTTACATTTGCAAAGGAATGTGAGTGCTTAATCCATGTAGCCAGACCAGGGAATGAAACGTTTATTGTTAAGGAATTCCCAAAGACAATGCCCTGTCCTCCCCAAGGCCGGCTCTCCTTGCCTATTAAGTGGGTCGAGAGGCATAGGAACAGATGATCCCACCTTGCAAAGTAGGACAGAGTGTGGGGTATGTGGGCTTCCCCAGAGTGCCAGGCAGACAGCTGCTCTGGCACGGGCTATGTGACCAGGACAGCCGCCATGTCTTTGTCTGCTGTATGATCACAGCTGCCTTGAGCAAGCCAGGCCCTGGGGACACGGTTGGCAGAACCCCTGCCCTCGAGATGCACCATTTGGTGGAAAAGACCCAAGTTCAGTGGAAACATAAAACACTGGACAGACGAGAGGCTGGGGGAGGGGCAACCAGGAAAACCCTAACCAGGTCAGGGGGCGTTCTAACAGCAACCTTAAATCTGTGTCAAGTGTCATTGGAAAGAGAACAAGACGGGCTGTCCAGGCCTGAGAAGCAGGAAAGGATCTAGGCTGGCCCCTCAATGGTTAGTGTCAGGCCTGGGTGGGGGGCATGTGTGGGCTGAAGAAAGGTGGGTTGACATCGTTTCCACTCCTTTGGGGACAGCGTGGACAGACAATAGACCACCAGAGTCCCCTAGGCCAAGTAGAGAAGCCGAGAGGAGGCACATGGTCACTGGCATGTTGGCCCAGGTCCCCAGTCATAGTTACCAGCTTTTACTTGGGCCAGACAAAGGGATGGGTTGGGGCCTACACCTCTATCTCTCTACTGTCAGGTCGAAGGGGATGGTAGACCCTTGACAATCTCCTGGGGACATCTAGGAAGCCACTAAATGCTCTGCACCTGTACAAAGCAGAGGACAGCCAGCTGGGACAGATTCTTACACACCAGAGACACAGACACATGGTGGCAGCATTCAGGTCTGGGTCTGCTGCTGGCCAGAGCAAGGGTCACCCAACCTCTGATGACAGGGTTCTGCGGCTGCCCAACGCCACCAGGAACCTTCACAGCGATGGTATCCCTCCCCAAGCTGCACCTGCTATGGGGATTTTAAGGGAAACCTTAGAAATTAATTGTTTTAGTGGTAAGAGGTAAGAACGTGTGAAGTAGGAACCTTACCAGATCTCAGTCCAAACACAAACACGAAATGGACCAGAACAGGGCAGTCCGTGGGACGGGCCAGACACTCCAGGGAAGGACCGCTGTACGGTGTGGGTGTGGAGGACACATCTCACAAGACGCACCGAATTAATCCCAGAAATGACAGTTTATTGCGGGGGGGGGAGGCCTGAGGTTCAAAGTACTAAGAGCCATCCCAGAGGCTCCAGAGTGGGTCAGGACCACCTGCTCTTAGCCCTTCCCAGCCCAGTGGCGTCTACTCTACAAGGCCACTCTGTACGACATTGTGTGACTTCCCTTCCATCTCATCAGCGTGCAGTGGATTTCCTCAGGGGTTCACCACAGTGTCACAGAGACTACAGACAGGAGCAGTCTGGGCCTTCCGCTGCCTCGTGGAAACCTACCAAGGCGGAAACAGGCCATGATTTTGTTTAGAAATATTTTGTTTAGAAAAGCTGTTTTCATTAAAATACAGTACTCGAGCCTACATGTCCTTGGTTTCCTTTCATGGCTTAAATGACATTTGAAATGTGACAGGGCGTGTGCTGAAAGAGCCTACATGTGCCTAAGGATCCTGGGGCCAGAGAGACAGTCTGAGGACATGGGCTCAGCAGAGCAGATGAGCTGCGACACAGGCACCCACCATGTCTGTCTGCTCTCTAATGGGCACCTGTCCCGTACAGGTCATGCTCTCGGCTAGGTACCAGAAACACAGCTGGCAGAAGCACCTCTCCCACCAAGTGTAAGAACTGCTTGGGGCATAGACACTGTGACAGGGACCCTTCTACCACACCTGGGCCCCAAGGCCTAGTGTGTCCATTTGTGTAAATGATTTCACAATATCCCCTAAGATGCTGCTGTGTCCCAGCCATCCCTCCTGCCTCGTGCAGCAGCCCGGCAGAGCCAGGCGCTGCTTGCCTGTGGGTCCCGGCTTTGATCACACCCACAGCAAAAACCCAGAGACACTTAGAGCAGACACGACACACAACAGATTAGTATCTTTAATTGCAAACGGAGCTCTTACAAACTGGTCAGGCCCATCAGTGGAGCAAAGGACATCGGCAGTCTGCAAAAGAGGAAATGCAGTCACTTGGTGTAAAAAGACGCTCAACGAGCTAGACTCGAGAGATGCGACTAAAGCATGTCGCTGCTGTCCTCAAGTCAGAGAATACTCAGCCCTGGCTGCTGGCAGTGTAATGGACACAGAAATTTCTGGAAACCGTTTTGTCAGGAGACAATAAAAGTCTCAGAGGGCCCCGTATTTGTTAATCCAACAATCCCACCTTTGAGAGTCTACCCCAAGGGAGTAACTTGGCCCTCGGAGGAAAACCTGACACAAATTTCTGCCGGTACGCAGCACTGTCCCTCCACCTGAGGGGAGAGTTCAGAGCCATTCAGAGTAAGGTTGGTGGCACATGGGAACAGCTGTGTCATATGCGCACGGTGGGGGTCCATGGGTGTGTAAGAGGCGAAGAAAGATGGGGCCAGGGACAGGAAGGAAGCCTCAAAGCACTGAATTTGACCATGTCCTTTCCTCTCCCTGGTCCCCTAAGCTTCCTGATGTGTGCTGCCATGGAGAACGGGACGCTCTGGTCCAGCTGTTGGTGGCACTGGATGGGGCAAAGGGCAACAGAACGGACTTATCATGCATGTTACACTGCAGAGCCCTGCCACCTGATGCCCTGTCCCCAGCGTGCTACAGCCAAGCCCCAGGCTTACCCCCTAAATCACCCTCAGCCCACACCAGCTTCCCCGCCTCCATTCACTCCCCTGCAGGCGGATGCTCAGGGCGTGCTCATCCAGTAGTGGCTCTGTCCTCTGCAACAAAAGGCACCTGTCTCGGGCCAACCCAAATGTACTATCATGCAGCATTCACGCCTGTCACGTACTCGGCTGGGGCCAACGAGATGGGTCTTTGCTGTTTCCTCAAAGTCACTAAATGCTCTGGGATATGAAGAGAACCCCAAGGTCACATTACAGACTAGGCTGGGAAGTTACCCGCATGCCAGGTCCCACTGTCAGTTACACTGAACACAGTGAAGCCTGCTTACCAGATGGGCGTCACAGAGTCTGGGGAGCAGGCACAGTACTGCTGCAACAGTCAATGCCGAGAGAAAGGCCACTCCTTCGTACAGCAACTCCTCTGTCTCCCTCTCCCTGCTCTCTTCTGAGCTCAAGAAACTACAACCTTGGGATATGTACAAAGCTGCCCCTCCCCTCCCCCTCTTCCTCAGCTTGATGCCCAATTATCAAGGTCTCCCTCTGGAGCTACATGGGCCTTGCATCTCATCATTTTGGCTAGGGACTAACCATGCCCTCCGATAGAGCCTCCATGGGCTCCTCAGTAACAGATCCAAAGCGGCTCTTCCAGGTCCAAGGTGGAGGGCAAGCCTCAACCCTCTCTCATGTGCTCCAGGCTCCAAGCCACAGAGAGCTATCGAGATGGTTCTAAATACAGGGCAGCACTGCCCCCCATTTCCATAAACACAAGCACGGGGGCGGGGGGGATGACAACAAAACACAATCACCAAGCCCATGCCACCAGAGCAGCAGCGTGAACCCACTGCAGCAGAGCGACCCAGGTGAGTCAGCCCAGATGGCAAAGGGAGACGGTGAAGCCACACAGGGAGACAGCTGGCCTGCTTGGCTCTGTCTCCAGCACCACCAGCCGAGGACTCTGGAGTGGGACATAAAGCCAATACAGCACCCGGTGGTCCAAGGAGCCAGGGTAGGTGGCATGCCCTTCCAGTGGGTCTCCAATCCTGATCGAAAAGGCCACAAAGAAACCTTCCAGGTGTCTCTTGCCTCCACAGACACCTCCCCGCTTCTCTGGTGATGCTGTAGCTTCACTGGGGGGGGCCCTCTACTGGAAGGTCCTGAGACTCAGCTCTTGGGGACCGGTGAGCACCCTCAGTGGAACCCCCAGGGAGTCTTCCACCTGCTCATGAAGCACCACGGTGCCAGCAGGGTGCCTTGGTCCAGGCTCTTCAGCAAGGCTACTGGGCTAACAAAGTTAACAAGAAGCAGGTGGCCATGGGCTGTGAGGCCAGCGAGCATTGAAGATTCCTGGCCTTGCAAGGGCGCCTGCTTTGGAATCAGTCACTTTTCCCAATGACGGAGGAAGTCTCTGAAAGAGGCCAGGTTCCAGGCCCCAGCCTCTGGACTCCCAAGAGGGGAGAAATGTATTTGGGTGGGTGCAGAGGTGGGGTTTTTTGTGGTCAAGCTAAGACCATGCAGAGGAGGGCAGGAGAACCCAGGAGAGGCACCCATCTCCCCCAAGGGGCCAAGTGGGCATGTAAACAGTTAATCTGGCGTTGAAATGTGACACATGTCACTGTCCAGGAGCTCGGCTGAGTCTGAATACCATCTCCAGGCATTCTTCTGTGAAGAAGTCAATGTTTTGTTCCTCAGAACTGGAATGTGTGTCCATATGAGGACCAAAGCCATTGGCTGCTCTTCACCAGTTCTTCAGACTGGGGCAGCAAGAGGCCAACACCCACTACCGAAGGTGCCCGATGCTTTCTAGAGGAATTGGCCCCCAGCCAGTCTTTTGTTCTTGGACAGAGGCTAGACATTAGGCCCAGGCACAGAGAGGGTATATGTTGGTGGGTTCCTTGGACCCCTAGAGATGGTGTGGGCGGCTGAAAGGCTGAGGTGAAAGCCACATGGCCCCTGGGTGGAAAAGGGCCTGAGGTTAGACAAGGCCACCATGGAGCCACATGGGCAGAAAGGAGCAGACACCCGTGAGCCTCTCAACGGAAATCCAGGCAGCAAATGGGGTCCCCAGGTCCCCCTCAGTCTGCTATGGCTGACGCATGGATGTTGCCTAGGCAGCCTGATGGAACTGCCCAGGGTCCCAGGTCCATGATTAACTTGGTAGACGAATGCTAGATTTCCCTGATGCCATCAAGACACTGGCAGTCACAGACAGGTGTGGATGAGTCTCCTGCGGACAGGAGAGGCAGAGGGAACGTCTGTGAAGGGCCAGATGTGTTCCCAGCAACAGCAGTGGGGTATGCTGGAACACAGGCTCCCCCATAGAGGAAAGGATCCCTGGAATGCAGAGTGACTGACTACCTGGCTTCCTTGCAAAGGGACCAGATGTGGGCAAGCTGGTTCAGGTATACATCAGCCACCTTCAGAGCCAAGCTGGTTTCTTTCTATTCAGAACTCATCAGCAAGACCAGAGTGACCAGGAAGGGGATCGCCAGGGTGCTTGGAGGGAGGGCACAGAAGCTGAATGTCCACTAGCCGAGCCCACAGAGGTGGTCAGCCTAAATGGTTCCTAGGCAGGCACATGTCCAAGGGGCTCTGTTGTGATTACTAGAGAAGCTGGGATTGCAAGCAACAGAGGGGAGGAACATGCACTGAGTTGCAGGTAAAGCTAGCAAAACGCACAGCGGGGTGGATGACCAATGAGAATGGCAGGATGACCTCCCACAGACTGGGAGAGGCATGAAAGATGCCTGCACACAGGACAATGCTACTGTATCGACAATTCTTCTCAGCAACAGTCTAGCTACCTGGGTGGCCACAGGTTCCCTAAAGGTTCCGGCTGCGGGTGGGCAAGGCTGGTGCCGGACTGGTCCCGTTGGAGGCAGGATGCACTGGGCAGGCTCCTGTGCCAGCTGTGGCCAGTTGGCGGCACAACATCTGCCGCTCCCGCACAGCCCTATTGGATGCCGAAGTCTTCCGGATTTGTGCACGCCGTGAGTGCCTCAGCGGAGACTTGTAGGTTCTGCGCAGCTCGGCCAGAAAGCCCTGGTAGTTGTTTCGCAAAGGGCTGTCTGGCTGCATGTGGGGAATGGCCCACTTCTCGGCCTCCCCAGTCAGTCGAGACACCAGGAAGGCCACTCTCTCGGCTTCACCTGGGAAGCGGGAAGCTTGAAAGATCATGAACCTGTCCATCTGCATCAGGAACCCCGCCAACTGGCCAGGGTCTCCCGAGAAGGGTTCAGGCAGCGAGGTGGGCGGCGTGGTCATGGGTCGGGTCCCATTGGAGGTGATGGCAGAGATAGGTGGAGTGATCTGCAGAGCGCCAGGGATGCGCGCCCGGGTGCGCAACAGAGTAAGCTCGGCCATGACGCTCTCCAGCATGTTGGTAAGATTGGCCTTCTCTGCCCTCAGCGTGGAGGCCTCGCGCCTCAGCGCAGAGTTGGTGAGGCGCAGGGAGGTCAGGGTGTCAACCACGTCATCCATCTGTGCGCTGGCACCAGGGGCAGAGGCTGGGCTTTCGTTTTTGGAGGTCTGAGGTTGGACCATGCTGGCCAAGGTTAAGCCACAGAGAGCTGGAGAACCAGAGCAAAAGGCCTTGGGTGCTGAAGCAGGTGCGCCCAGGCAGAATCTAGGAGGGCAAGCCCGAGGCCACTGGTCCTGTCCTGGGCGCAGTTCCTTTCTGCAGGCTTTGTAGGGTCAACGTGTGGGGCCCTGGCTGGACCTGCCCAGGCCTTGAAGGATGTTCGAGCTGGACCTGCTCAACCCTTGCAGAATGTACAGGCTGGACCTACCCAGGCCTTATGAGATGAGCGGGCTGAACCTTCCCAGGCCTTGCAGGATGCATAGGCTGGACCTGCCCAGGCCTTACGGGATGCGCAGACCTGCGCTGCCCAGACTTGGCGGGATGCACCTGCCGGAGCTCGGGCTGCGGGTGAAGGCGCTGCCCGCGGGTGGCACGCGACTACCTGCGGGAGAACAAAGGGCGGCCGCACCTGAGCTGGCCCGGGCCGGGCGGCGCGTGTACCTGTCGCTCCGCCGCTCCCTCCGCTGCCAAGATGGCCCGCGGGTCGGGGCCGTGCCTTGCCTGCGCGTCACGGCGGCCGCCGGAACTGCTTCCCCGGCGGCGGCGGCGGCGGCGGCTGCGGTTCCTGCGGGGCTGGAGTGGCGGGGTCGTGGCACTGCGCCGTCACCGCGCGGTCTTTGTGCGGGCGCGGCCAGCGAGATGGCAGCGGGAAACCAGGCAACTGGGTCGGGGCCTGCTGGTTGCCATGGAGACCGCCCGCTCCCGGAGCGCCAGCCGAGGGAGACCTGCCTTCCGGAAGTGACGCAACCCCGCCTCCCGGGCCATGCGCCTTTCTCAGCAGCCTATCAGCGAGGAGCGTGGGTTCTGCCATTTGATTCTCTTGGAAAGCTTTGGTTCTTTCAGATTCTTCCCAAGTCGGCATGAGGAGCCTCTCAATGGCGGTGTAATTTTTTTTTTTTATGTAAGGTTGACTTTTCTTACTGTAGCTTGAATGCAATTCGCATGAACTACATGGTCATAGTAGCAAATCTTGACAAAGAAGAAAACTTTTTTTTATTTTAGTTTTATTTTTGAGCCTGTCTCCTGTAAACTAGACTGGTTTGGAACTCAGGAAGTAGCCAGGGATGACCTTGAACCTCTTCTGCCTCCACCTTCTTATGGCTGGATTGCGGGAGTTCACCACCACACTGGATTCAGATGGTTTTCTTCACCTCTCTTTTCTTGAAGCGGGGGTGGGGGGGGTGTCTTATGTTGATCAGACTGGCCTTGAACCCACGATGCAGCCAAGGATGACCATGACCTTCTCATCCTCCTGTTGCCACTTCCAGTGTGCTGGGATTACTGGCTCTGAGCACCATAGCCTTGTGCAGTGCTAGGATCAAACCCAGGGCCTCATGCCTACAAGCATGTCACCACTGAGCTGAATCCTGAGCCCTGGAAAAGTCTTAGGAAACAAAACAAAACCAAAAAAAAAACTTTCAGTTCCCTCAGTGTCCTACCTGTACATAATAAATAAACAAACAAATAAATAAATAAATAAATAAAGTCTTGTTCAGTAGTCCACCATTTTTCCATTAGTATCCTATTATGAATCATTGACTTTTGTGCCTTGGAAACAGTCGTGTCTCCCTAGTCACGTTGAATTTTGAGATTCTCCTGCGGCGGTGGTTCAGAAGCATGCCAAGGACTCCACTGAAACCCTGTGCAACCTTTTATTCCTGCCTGCCCTCTTGCTAGATGGCCAACTTATTGTCCATGCTGAATTTTATAATATGCTTTGCAAGTCCCAGCCCCTTCCTCCAACAGAGCCAAGAGCTAAAACCAAGAAGTAACTTGGGGGAGGCGGAGCTAAAGCGGCAGCTCTCAACCTGTCGAGACCCCTTTGGGGGCCAAATGACCCTTTCACATGGGTCTCATATCAGATATCCTGCATATCAGATTTTTACATTAGGATTCGTAACAGCTACAAAGTAATTTTTTTGGTAATTTTATGGTGGTGGTAGGGGTCACCACACCATGAGGAACTGTGTTAAAGGGTCACAGCATAAGGAAGGTAGAGAACCACTGAGCTAAAGGTTTGAGTGGAGATCCTGGGGTTTTCTAGATTGCCCTGGCTTGGTTGTTCCTTCATGGTCAGTTACACACTGGGGTGTATCAGGGGAGAAAATGCCCTCTGTAAAGTCCTTCCAGGATGCAGTCCAGGAGACGGGTGGCAGTAGCCTTCTGAAGGTGGGAGGCAGGCCTGGGGTGGAGATGTGTTCATTCTACCTATAGTTCTTGATCTTGCAGTGGGGGATTTGGGCTGAGGGTACCCACATTTGGAGAAAACACTTGCATTCCACTGCTCCAGACTGTATGTTTTGCGACAAGCTAAAACTCCAGAACATGAAGCAAGAGAGGAAAGGAGGAAGACATTGTATACTTAATATCACTTCTGTGAGGTCTCCAAAGTCGGGTGGAGGCAAGAGCTACATTCACCTTGACTGCGGTCAATGAGTTCAAAATCAGAAATTGTTCTGGACTGAGCCGCCGCACATACTGTTTCTGAACACACCTGGACATCCCCTTGTGACCCAGTCCCAGTGGCACAGTGGCCCCTCTCTAGGTACCTGGATGCTGTGGGCTACTGAGGAGCCTGCTGTAGTTCAGCTGTGGTTGACAGTATAGACCTGAGGTTCCCCAGTGCCTTGGAAAGAAGGTATGTCATCTGGTGCCTAGAATGAGCCATAATAGCGGCACTCTTTGGTTTCAAATGAGCGAATTTATTAAGCATGTAGCAAGGAAAAGTAAAAAGAACCATTTGCAAACAGCAGACAGAAAGCAAAACATCATAAATCAGTGTTCACAACACCCAGCAGAGGCAGCTGGACTAGCCTGGCTGAGAGCAGGCCAAGGGAACAGCATCAAATAGTGGCTGAGGATGCCTAGCGGAATGACTGGGGAAGAAGCATTTAGCTGAAACTCCCGGTTGCAATCAATGACCTCCCTGCTTCCCACTCCCACCACAAGCATTTTTGTGCCATGGGATAAACAATAGTAACTTCTGCCGGGCACAGTTTACCTTCTAGCTGTCCTCAGGGTGCAAGGATTTTAAGATACTTAGCTGCAAGCTGTCTTCCTGTCTCCAAGGCAGAGGCAGGGATCAGTTTGCCCCTGGAAGGGAGTTTTAGAGATTCCCTGAAACAAACATGCTAGGGTCTGGCACAAGGAACCCCACCCCCCATAGGCTACTTTCAGTAACCTTAAACAGCACGTGAGAACTTGCCAATAAAATGTGTATTGCAGAAGACAGAAGGCTCTCCATAATTTTGGAAATGATAAAGTGTGGCATTTACTTGTATTTTGCCTCATTTCAAAGAGGCTATAAAAGTTGTAGTCCAGGAAAAAAAAAAATGGAGTAAAGTGAAAATGCAAAGACTGGGATGTGTTTGTTTTTGAGACTAGGCCCTGTAGCCTAGGCTGGCTGCAAATTTCATGCAGGATGCCTTGAACTTCTGGTCGTCCAGCCCACACCTCCCCAGTGCACACCTGGTTTTTGGCAATGGAGAGCAAGCTCAGTGCCTCATGCATGTTAGGCAAGCACTCTGCCAACCTGGACAAGCACTCTACCAACTGAGTTCTAGCTCCAACCACCAAAACTACAATGGGAAAATCAGAAAAGCAGAGGGAGGGCCCTTGGATTCGGTTTGGGTCCAGACGCTGCTGTGACTCTAGATCTGAAGCACGGTCTGAAGGAAACGGGATGATGTGGCTGGGCCCATGGACAAGACCAGCCTCCCTATGAGCTACAGACACAGTGTGCTGTGTTCCGTGAGTGGTCTCAAGGGTGGGAACAGGGCCAGGCTGTCTTTTGAAGCTGGAGGTGAGAAGAGAAACAAGTCAATTGGAAAGAAGAATTCATCTGTCATTTTATGGATGTCAGGGGGCGGGGAGGGGGGGTGACAGCATGTGTGAAAGTGTGGTCCTTGGACCACACAGACACCATCTCCTGAGCCCATGTCACCTAGATGGATGAACAGACCATGGAAGGGTGAGATTCTGAGACTCAGAATCACCAAGTCAAAATTATGTTCTTCACCACAGACCAGGCCTCAAATACAACGTGTTAGGTGCTGGGAAGAAGTGGGGAGGGAAGGAGGGAAGGACAGAGAGAGAGAGGGAGGGAGGGAGGGGAAGAGAGAAACTTGTACCTACAAATAAGAAAACGCAAATCCTGAAACATCTAGAGCTATGCTTGATGACAGCAAAATCAACAATCATAAAATGAATAAACTCCAAATGAAATCAAATCGTTGGAGCAATGAAGAGACTTTAAACTGAGCGTGTGTGGGTGTTTGATAAGAATAATGAGTGAATAATATTTATAAAGGTAAGGGAGGGGAGGAGCATAGGGCATCAAGATCAGGCAGCCGTGGAAAATCAGGAAAAGGCCCTTACCACCAAACCTGACGGCCTGAGTCAATGCCCAGTACTCACATGGTGGAGGTTCTAGTTTTCATTCTATGCTGTGATAAAACACTATGATGAAAAGCAATGTGGAGAGGAGAAGGTCTGTTGGCTTACACTTCCAGGTCATGGTTCATCGTTAAGGAGGTCATGGCAGGAACTCGAAGCAGAAACCGCAGATGAATGATGCTTGCTGGTTCATCCCAAGGCCTGTGTTTAGCTAGCTTTCTCATATAGCCCAGGAGCACATGCCTAGGGAACGGAGCCACCCACAGTGGGCCGTGCCCTTCTGCATCAATTGACAATGGAAGAAACCCTCCACAGTCATGCCCATAAGCCAATCTGATCTGGGCAATTCCTCAATGAAGGCTTTCCTTTCAGAGGACTCTAGGGTATGTCAAGTTGACAACTGAAGCTAGCTAGGACAAATGTATAGAAATTTTCAAGCAAGCATCATTCACAGCAGTGGAGCATGTGCCCATGTGCCCATCTATGATGAATGGAAAGCAAAGCCTATCAGCTATAGGAGAGGGATGCTGGTTTGTGCTACAAGGTAGACAAACTTTGAAAACACCATGCTAAATCAAAGATGTCAGATGGAGTGGAAACATCCAGAATAGGCAATTCCCAAAGACAGAAAGCAGAGTGATCCACACCAAGGTCTGGGGAGAAGGAGGGAATGGAGAGTGACTGGGCACAGCTGAATACAGGATTTCTTGGGGGTGTAGAATGATGGAAACATTCTGGAATTAGTGTTGATTGACTCCACAACATGGAGAAGAGACTGAAAAACTGTACGGAGATTTTTTTTTTTTAATGGTGTGTCAATTGTATTATTAAAACAAACAATGGCCGTTCACATCAAAACTCACAGAAACGCAGGGACAGAGGAGACCTTCCTCGACCGGATACCAAGCAACTGCAGGTTCGGTGAGATGGCTCATCAGGTAAACGCACTTGCCACAGAAGCCTGGTGACTGGAGCTCCATCCCAGAACCCATGAAAAGGTAGAAGGAGGGAATCACCTCTACGCAGTTCTCCTCTGTCCTCCACATGCGTACTGTGTTCCCGACTCCCACCTGCACTGATAATAAATGCCATTTAAAAGGAGAAGCCGTGCAGCTCCCCACTTCGAGCTGCTGGTGTAGTGGCTGAGGAGGGAGCGATTTCATCCTACGGCTGGGCAGGCCGGGATGTCCCCACTCAGCATGTGTGTTCAACACGGTGCTGACAGCTTTAACCGGTACAGTGAGTCAGGAAATAGAACCTGAGATGTTGTCTTAATCGCTTT